AATGTCTATGCTCAGAGCAATACTTCAGTCTCTACCACGCCATCTATCTAAATCAACCATTACCATACTCAGATCAGGTCAGATCATGTCAGATCAGGTCAATCAAGATCAGATCTTTGGACCGAGTTAGACCAATCACATGCTCGGACCGATTAGACTGGAAGTCGCGAAACGAGAGTTGTATGGGAATCACCTTCCTAAAGGCGCCAAACGCTCAGGCACGGATTTTCAGATCTTCGGTAAATCAACGAGTCAGGGATGACTCGTAACTATGTCTTTGTTTAGCATAGAGATCACAAAGCGACAAATTTCAGTACGGAGTGCAGGCATACCTTGAAGTGAAAGTGCTGAGCCGGTATGTCGACCGGAACATTGGGTAGAACATTCAGCTCGACTTCGGGACCGATGAGATAAAGCACACGCGCTTGATTGTGCTCGATGTCGGCCGGTGTTGCTGGGTTGCTGATGATTCCGTAGGTAGCCTCGACATCACATGTATTGATAGCCCTGCGAATACTAGACCGAACCTCAGACTCATGGTTTGTGAGCTATATGGGCCGCAAGTTAGCACTTCCGAACGATAGAGTGTGCGACAGGTTACATACCATCCGAGTGTCATCATCTGATGGAGGGTAATCAACTGTTGAGAGACCGAGCAGAGAAGCGGCGTCTGTATAGGCCTTTGATGTGTAGTCCTTGCGTTCCATGCGGGAGGGATATCCAGCATCACACAGAACCCACACAAAGAAGAGCTCTCGAGCACGCGAAAGCAACTCGCACTTCTCTTCGCCTTCCTCCTCTTCAACCTTGCCCAATGTCGGTCGGTTTTGATTGCACTTCTTTTTCTTCTCTCGTTTAAGCGCGAGAGCATCAGGCTCGTCCTCGCCGCGAAGCCGTTTGGATGGGACTCGCCGAGCATCGGAGGCATTAGGTGAAGCCGACTTAAAGAGTGAAAGTGGGGCGACCACTGAGTTCCTCGCCAAAGATGAAGCCGTAGGTAACCCGACAGCTGGTCCAAGTGCCCGAATCTGCTCAGGAGACATCTTCGAGAGAGCGGCAAGGGCTTCTGAGTCAAGTCCAAAGTCAAATAGCATTGATGGCATTGCAGACGGCATCGGAGTGGGAGCTGGAATGGCGTGCTGCTGGCGACCTTGAAGTACAGAGCGGCGGCATTGCTGGGCTGTTGCCATAGTAGCGGGATGGTTGTCCAAGATGGTTGTGAACTAGATACACCAGTATTAGTACAATCCCGAGGGAAGCGAAAATAGAGATGGCTTCACCGTTGAAGACTGCTCAGGCCCTGTGACAGATGGTGCCACAGCAGAACGGACTTCAGTCGCCGTGCGACGAGATACAGGGCCGATATACATATCATCATTGTCGTCGCTCCCACCTTCACCGGTCTGACGCAGCTGGTCCCGATATGTATTGACATCGTCTTCGTCTTCCAAGATGCCAGCGGGTGCTGAAGTTTGAATGCCTTCAGCCCCTGCAATCTGACCACGATGGAGAACAATATCTTGACAGAGAGCATCAATCTCTATGAAGTGATTCAATGCAGAAGAATACATACTAGGATCATGCCGGGCAGTAGTCCGTATGATGCGGGGGCCAGTGACCAAAGTAGGGTTGCTCGACGAGGGCGGCAATGAGGTCATGTTTGTATTAGCAGGCGGAGATGGGTCCGGGCGACCATATTTTGAACGACCCATGATCGAGAAGAATATATAAAAGAGAAAGAGAGCCGGAAATAATGTGCCGCCCTGCGAAGAGTTGGCTGGCCGTGGAGAAGGAGAGAACCAAATGCGCCCGACTGAACTGCTCGGACGCTGATTGCCGAACCTTCACACGGACTGTTCGCTAAGCAAGACATGAGGCCAACATGCACTTGCATTCACTACTTGACCACCCTCTACCGTCATGCCTCCTCCCAAGAAGAAAGCTACGCGCAAGCGGGCGGCTCAGCCAGGACGTGAGACACGGCCGTGCCCACTGTGTGGGAAGCATTCCCGCAATGTCGCATTACACCAAAAGACAAATGCCAGGTGCGGCGGCCCCGCCGCCCCTCCACCACCATTGACAGCAACCTCGAACGGGCCAAGTACCAGTAGCAGTACCACGATGTCCCACTCTGTCACCGTCGAGGAAGTGCCTGACGAAGGTGACGACTTCATGGATCAGATCAAGATCACAATGCCCGATGCGAAGAAGATAGTCCGTGATGTACATCCTAGCAATGCTGGGCGGCCACAGCGACAGACTACAACTGCGTTCGATGCTAAGCGGACTGTGCAGAACCTGACGGACCATGCGCCGTGGCATCCCTTCGCAAGCTACGATGAGTATAAGTTCACTCGTTGGCTTCTGAGAAGCGGTCTTTCTCACCGTAAGGTCGATGAATTCTTGAAGGGTGATGTGGTGAGTGTACTTGCAGACAGCTCAGAAGCTCGTTGTATGAGGCTGAACGGGCCTTGACAGTTTCACAGCGCGCGTGCATTGCATCCAGACCGGTACCACAGCTTTCACGATAACAAGTCTTTCCTACTATTCCTCGATCAGCTTCAGACCCCTGGGCTAGTTGATTGGAAGCACAGGCAAATCAACATTGAGGGAGACGTACCTGATCCTCGCCGCCCGGGTAAATCCCTTACGGAAACGGTTGACTTGTGGGGTCGCGACGCGCTTGAAGCTGTTCGTGGCCTTTTGAGTAACCCATCGTTCAAAGATCATATGCATTACGCACCAGTGAAGGAGTACATGGGGGTCGAAGAAGAAAGAGACGAGGTTTGGACGAAATGCACACGGGCGAGAAGTGGTGGCGCCTGTAGGTACGTTGTGTTACTATGCCTCGATATATGTGCAGAACGTGAACACACCTTGTCTAGACAGAGATCCAGTGCGACGACGGGACCGTTGTACCCATCATCCTGGCCTCGGATAAGACGCAACTTTCGACATTCAGTGGGGATAAGCAGGCGTGGCCAGTCTATCTGTCGATTGGTAACATATCTGGTGCTATACGGTCTCAGCCTTTGAAGGGTGCCACAGTACTGCTCGGTTACTTGCCTGTGACTAAGCTACAGTGCTTCTGTAGTCAGGAAGCAGTGAAACGTATGGGACACCGACTCTTTCATCATGCGATGAGTCTCCTGCTCGAGCCGTTGGTGGAGGTAGGAAGGACAGGCGTGGAAATGCCCTGCGCGGATGGCTGGTCGCGCAAAGTCTTTCCCATCCTTGCTGCGTACCTCGCCGACTTCCCTGAGCAGTGCCTGATCACTTGCATAAAGTCTAATTGCTGTCCTGTCTGTAAAGTCGACCGACTTGAGCGTGGGCACCTTCTGAATTCGCTCTATCGCGCACCTGATGACACCCTCGAGCATCTTCGGCGCGCAGACGACAATGACCTGCAGGACGTGCCTAAACCCTTCTGGGCCGACCTCCCATATGCGAATATCTTCAGCTGCATTACACCAGACATTCTGCACCAACTCCATAAGGGCGTGTTTCGCGACCATCTTGTCAATTGGGTGACTCGTGACTACGCAGAGGAGATCAACGATCGGTTTGCCCGAATACCTCCTTACCCGGGTCTACGCATCTTTGCCCGCGGCATCTCGACCATCTCGCAGTGGACCGGGAATGAGTATCGCCAGATGGAGAAAGTTTTCCTGGCACTTCGGAGCGGCCTGAATGCTGACGATCCGCGCTTCATCATCGCTGCACGTGCAGTCCTCGACTTCGTCTATCTTGCTCACTTCCCTGTTCATTCGACTTCTACTCTCGCCATGATGCAGGAGGCGCTTCAACGGTTCCACTCGAACAAGCAAGTCTTCATTGACCTCGGTGCGCGCACGCATTTCAATATCCCCAAGATACATAGTATGCTCCATTACGTGCCCTTTATCATAGACTTCGGCTCTGTACTACCACTCTGCACCGACGGGCCTGAGCGTCTTCACATCGACCTCGCGAAACTTGGCTACCGTGCGAGCAATCGCAGAAACTACGTCATCCAGATGATCCTGTGGCTTCACCGTCGTGAGAAGCTGGCCTGGTTCGAATCTTATCTCGTGTATATCGAGTCTGCCTTCGGGCTGCCCAGTGATGACGATCCCATGGACGGATCGAGCCTTGAGGAGGACGAGGCATACAATGACGAGCTTTGCGAAGACGGTGATGAACTCGAGACGGAAGAACTTGAACTGGTCGATGTCTTCGACCGAGATCTTCCGCAAGTCGGCGTTATGAGGGACATGAATGCTGTCCACCCTACAGATCCTGCGCCGACAGCTGCATCGTCCGACAATGTGTCATGGTTATCTGCAGGTGACGATGAGGTGGTCACGGTATGTTACCCTTTTGGGTCAACGTGTGAGCATCGTGCTGATCCTGTGTACAGGATAGCAGCTCTCGGTTTTTACCATATAGGATCAGCAAGCGTCCGGCCTATGGCCGTGTTTCTGTTTCTGATCTACATAAACATTTCCATGCTCTGCATTTCACACGAGAGTTGCAGGCCTTCCTTCTGCGCGAGACGCCATCATTTGGACAAGTGTGGTTATCCTCCCTCGACAATCTTCGCTTCGGGCTATATGCCCAGTTCAGGCGAACACTCCCATCGTTGCGCGGGCTTCCCGAAGGCGATGTTATGGAAGATGTCGTGTATGCTATGCCAACATCTTCCGGATTATCATTGCGCTTCAGTACAGTCCTGTACATACACAATCAAGATGAGGCAGCCGAGTATGGTGTTCAGGGTATGGGTTGTCTCTCCTATGCACTTTCTAGCATGTGCTCATTTTGCCTGCAGGATACCGTGTCGAGCGTATACGAGCTATCTTTGATGTACCGGACATCATAAACCGTCAACGGCCCCCCAATGCATCTCGACACCTTGCGTATCTGGAACTCTTCACACCATTCGAAGAGGGACCAGAGCGGCACAGCCGTCTATGGCGTGTAGCCCGCCAGATGTCAAACGGCGAGCCGCGACCACTCGTCGTTCCTCTTGACTTGATCTTTCAGAGTTGCCATCTCATTCCAAACTTCGGCACAGCTGTCAATCTGAGCTGGACATCCCAGGACGTACTTGACCAGGCCATGAGATTCTACCTCAATCCTTTCATAGATCATCATATGTACTTATTTGTGTAGCACTGATCTCTGGTCCCTATATAGAGTCTTACTCACTGTGCTTGAAAGGCACTAAGTTGGGCCATCAATCGTCGATTAGAGCATGGCACGTCTCGATCGGAACTCATGGCTCCGAACGGGATCGGGGGTTACCAGACTGAGCCCCATGTTCCTACCCGGAGACCTTCATCTGTGGACGGAGTGCAGAGTACTGAGAGACTCCTTCGGCTTGCTTACGCTCCGTTCTGGCATTCTGAGACCCTGGGCTCCAAGCCGAGCCCGCCACCCTTCCTGATGTGTATAGCTGTACATTATGTTGGATAAGCTGCATACGTGCCATTCGAGTCATGGGAGCAAATCATGCTCGAAGCGGCTACCCCCCTTCGTAAGGCCTGCTTTTGTCTCACGCGGCAATTCAGCCTCTTGGTCCTTCCCCCCATCGTCGCCCACCTTGTATATATGAGGTACCTATGAAATCAGTCAAGTTGCCCCTATGCATAACCTGGCTCGCACACCTCGGGGCCCATGTCTTTCAACATCATCAACCTGCCTCATCATCTACGGTCCGTGTAAACAATACAGATATTAACTGGGGGTATACTCAACTTTGAGATAGGTATCACGTCATGAACATGATCTTGGCCGGTATACTGCCAGGGCTAAAGGAGCAAGACACTGACGCAGTACAGCGATTCATGCATGTCTTTGTCAACGAGCTCCTTCGTCTTTGGCAAGTGGGCTTCGTTGCAAAGACCGCTTGCTACCCGCAGGGTCGGCGGGTTCGGGTTATCCTAGTATGTGTGTGCTGCAACAAGCCTACTGCCCACAAGCTCAGAGAGTTTGGCGCACACAGCCACACTTTCTTTTGTACATGCTGTTGGATCAAGCAGGCTGAGAAAGCCACCGACAAGTCATTCACTCCCAATGGTTAGTATGTCTCCGCTTGCATTTGTTCTGTATCATGAGAACTGACCATTTGTATTGCAGGTTTCCCGTCCCACTCACATGAGGAGCACATGCATATAGGACAGGAGTATGCTCGGTGCAGTACTCAATCAGCGCGGGATAAGTTTGTATGCCAACATGCTACGCGCTGGTGTGAACTAGCGCGCTTGCCGTATTTCGATGTTTGTCACATGATTGTCATCAATCCCATGCATAACTTGCTTCTCGGTATAGTGGGTCTCTCTTTACATATACTTGTTTCTGATGCACTTTGATAGAACTGGTCAAGACACATTTTTACCATATATAGATCAAGATGAAGGTTCTGCGGAGGACGCAAGAACTTCGCCGCTTTCACTCAATATTGGCCGGTGTGAGTTATTACCATCACGTATCAAAATATGTGTGCTGACTTCAGTCCAGCTCAAAATATCCACCTATCTCAGCCACCTACCAACGCTCATGGGCAAGCCTGCTGGCGGATCATTGACTGTAGATCAGTGGCTCATTGCTGCGACAGTTGTTCTGCCTATCGCAGTGTGTGCCCATCATCACTGACTGGTTGACATTTGGCTCATAAATCGCACAGATACCCCAGATCTGGGATGAGTATGCCACAGGTGAACCTGTCATGGTTTCACCCCATCAGATCCTATAATTTTCCGGCATTTTCCGTTATTTACCTTTATTTACATTCTGATTCCCCTTATAAACTCCCACTCCCAGGCTCTTGTTCTGCAGCTTGTCACTCTGTACCTACCACCTAGGGTTGCCTCCATCAATGCACTAGCTTCACTTATGTCTTGAGCAGCCACAATCTTGAGCAGCCACAAGGGGCCCTTCACCCTCCTAGAGGCATCCCTAATAGAACCAGAAGAAGTTCGTCTGCAACGTCTTGGCGATTTTGCGGCACTAGCGGAGAAGCAGAAAGCTGCCCGCACAGCCGCCCGTTGAGAATGTGAGACTGCTAAGGCTGCGGCGACTCAGAATGTGCGGAAGTCCAAGTGCAAAAGAGTTCCTACGACCCGGTCCTTGGTATGTGAATGCCAAGACTCGATATATCTAGCACCGTATAACCTATTCTTGCAGTATTGCGAGGAGGCAAATGACGATGACGACAAGCCGTCATACAAAGATGCAGGGGCGCAGGAAGTAGTTGACGAGTGCAACATCTTTGGTGAAGATAACGTGGAGGACGAGGAGAGCAATGCGCGCGCAGGTCCTAATTTACACCCCAGTGACTCTAGCAACTTTTTCAAGTTGACCGCCTTCCTCGAGATCGTCTTGAGTTATAAGCTATCTGTAGTAGATATTGACCGTGCAGATAGCTTGATACGGGACTACTGTCAAGAGCTTGCACACATATGTCCTCATTTTTGTACTGAACACAGATAAAGGCCCACTTCACCTTACAGCTCTATGACCCAGAAGTCATCCGACCGAACTATCATTATGCAACACACATACTAGAAAACATCCTCGACTTTGGACCTTTACAGGGCTTCTGGACTTTCCTGTTCGAGCGAATTAACAAGATATTTAAATCATACAATAGCTCCAACCACCCGGGCGGCGAACTCGAGCTTTCGTTCTTTCGCAAATTCTATTGGATGCTCGAGCAGTCGCGTGTGATATGCCATTGATGCTTGTCCTGTCAGCCCTTACTTAATGACGCTCAGATAGCAGAATCCTATGCAACGGGCCTTGATGTGCTCAAGAATTGTGTCACAGCCCTGTATCGGGCAACTGCAGATGACCGTGGCATGGTTCAAAGCCTTGCACGGGAGCTGGAAAATGCTTTGGAGGATGGTACTGCTCTCTCTTTGCACACATATCTTGCTTGCTGACATGAATATAATATAGGGGGTGTTCAGTATCAGCTTTCAACGCGCTCGCAGAAAGCACCCCTTCAGCCTCATCTATACAACGAGATTCTTGCTTTCATTCAACTTTGCTTGCCAGCTGGCTTCGTTCTGTGCTCGTACCTCTTTCCTGGCACCGGGCTCGCACTCATTCCTGATGCGCAGTTCTTTGACTATGTGATCATCGCACAGAGACGCTATCGGGCATCGTCATGAACTAATAGCATCACAAATATGATGGTCGTTGTTAGGAGGCAGGCTGGTATTAGTACAGTGGGGGAACTCATGAACATTGTAGGCATCGCACAGCCTGGCCTGCCTGTTCAGCGTCTCGGGGTTGTCAGATGGCTGGTCCCTTCACAACAAGCCATTTCACCGAGTAGCTCATGGAAGTCAATGTATGTAGCGCGACTTTGTCAGGCCATGTTCAATGCTCATACCTCTATAGCGCACACTTGCGGGTTCACATCTGGCAGCCCAACTCTTACGGAGCTCAACAAGAGCTTATTCTTCTCGAGGATATTGACAGTCATGCCGTCTTGACAGAGGCGCTAGTATCTGGCCATAAGCAATGGATCACTGTGGGTTTACATAGTACGTGTGCAGACTTCGCAAGCCGTTGACCTCCTCAGCTAATACTACTCATACAGGATGATAGTACTAGGTGTTTATAGACTACAGTCATATGATCCTACTTAAGTCTCCGTTTCTTCACCGTCTGTATTGTCTGTGACGCCCTCACCATCTGTCAACTCATCATCCGCTACCCACTCCCTGTCCATGTCTTTGAATAAGCTGGCCGGGATCTTGGCTTGGAGAGCGGTCAGCATCGCAGGAACATGAGGCAAGACATCTTCAGCGAAGCACGTCTGCTCATTGAACCAGTCAGATATAACGGCCTCGCGCCAGAGTGCCTTGTCGGGCAGGTGCTTGGACATGTTCGCACTGAATCCGGGAAACGTGAAGGTCGGGCCCGTGTTCTTCTTTTTCGGATCCAACTGATGTCGAGCTAGCGCCTTCTTGATTAGTAGGAGGTACAGCCTTTTGAGCTAAGTCACAACTGTAAGTTCGTCGTCATCTCAATGAAGTGCATGCAATGACTTACCTGCGGACTATACCAGCTGGGAGGACGCAGTTCCCAAGCACCTTTTGTCTGCTTGACCCCGTACTTTGCTATATACATGGTCTTGCGCTTATCCCACTCCATCTGGTCGACATCGCCACTGTCGGATGCACAGGACGGTACATAGTCCGTCTTGATGAGCTCTTGAAGGCCGCTCATGGGAGGTTCGCTGACAGGACAGCCCTCATACGTGTTGAGATCGTGTTCGACTTCATCTGTCACATCGCATAAGGTATCTGCGAGCTATAGTGATACTCTGTGAGTCAACATTTTCTTTTATATATTGCGGTGCAAGCTAACACACCTGTGATCCGTGACGCTTGCACATCTTTGCCCTATTGTGCACCTCCACCTGATCCTGAAGCGTCTTGTTGCCCTGTTCCTTCTTGTTCTTGCGCATCTGTGAGAACACCTTGATCAACCGCTTCCTCCCAAACTCAAGTCCAAGGTCTGTGTATGGACGCTAAGCATTGCCCAGTCAGTTTGTGAAGGTCGCCGAAAGGGAAATGACGGCGAGCATACATTGTCTGCTGGCTGTTGCTTTTCGTTACTGATCAGGGTGTTGTGCATAGTATCAATGTATCTCGCATTGTACGGCGCGTTGTGGTCCTCAGCAAAATTGGGCGTCCAGACGTCCGTAGGTTGAACGGGCACTTTGCACAACTCTGTGGGTGGCAGGTCGGGTAGGTGGTACTTCTGGCGTCCCGTGTAGACAAATACCAACCCGCCGTACATCTGTCGGTTTGTCATCTTCTGGATTGAAGTGTGAGTATGCTAACCTGTTACTTATAGATGTAGTATACTCACTGCCGCAGCCCAGTTACGGACAGGACCCGTGCTGGATTCGACCAGAGCCGTATCTGGTCCCGGTATCACCATACCAGTCATATTGTTACTGAGAACAGGCACAGCAAGTCCAGGGGTGGGCGTCAAGTGCACTTGCATTCACACCCACCTCTCGAGGCTCGCACTTTGCAAGAACCCTTGAGGTGGGGTGTTCTATACTGCTAGCATGTGTGTAAGAGGACCACATAGTTCTTATAGCATCGTCCCAAGATGACTGCAGGGGGAGCACATATCATGAGTCATGAGTAAGCTCAGAATAGGGGTGGCTTCACCAACTTGCAAAAACCACTGTCTTGTACCGGAGGTATACAGGTCCTGTCTCAGATTGCGAAGCCATTAAAAGGATATTTGATGGCAAACTCAAAAGGGGCTAGGATAATAGCAACAGCCCTGACAGCAATAGATACAGTATGTACAGTAGTCAGAACTACTTGGCAAAGCTATATGAGCCTGAAGTATACAGGGCTTTGGCAATGCAAGCAGAAAATAAGCCAACATATTCACCAGTGATGAGATGCCAAAGTGGTATGGGGGCTGGAGCAGCCAATAATATAGCTACAGGTTTATCTGAGGAGTGCATCAGACTTGTATTGACGAGACAAAGAGATTGAGCTACTCACCAAGCCAATACACATAGAACTGCGCTCAGCATGGGAATATCTGAGCACCAGATCAAAGTGACAGGAGAGAATCTGTCTATGATAATTAGTACTGTATCCTGCAGCCCAGTACTGACCTCTATCCCATAGTGTATCTCAGGGCGCGTCGATTGACCCATATGACATGGCCAGGCATGGAAAAATAATAGCAGTATGGCCCATTCCCTGACTGCACATTTTGGGGCTGATGGGATTACAGTCTACTCACTAGTACAGTATATGCCCAAGCCATTGTGGGGTATAGCCAGTCCAGAACTCCCCATAGACATGTTTTGTGGCCATCCCATGGATATTGAACCGTGAAATATAGAGAAATATGGGATGGACTGTGCCAGGCCACCAAGCCAAAAGATTGAAACTGGGCTAGAATATTCTGTAGCACATCTCTGAAGACAATCAAGACATGTAGGGCATGCAGAATCCCAATGCAAATTGATCTAGCACCTTAGATTAAAGAAATACAGAGAAACACGTGAGAAAGCACTCAGATATACCGGCCACTAGTTGGGTCTGGTGGTCATAGGTGCACAGCAGGCAATACATGATATTGGCACACAAAAAAGAGATGCATTGGGTTCGGAACTTGTAGGAGATAACAGCCATGTACTTGGTACAAAAATCTGACTGTTATCGCGAAAGATATGGGCCAAGTACTCACCAGACTTCCACAGTTGTGTGCACCTAGGCTCCAACAGGGACTACTGGTCATTCTGGGATAGTTGGTGGGTGGATAGGGCATGAATTTAGGACTGGATAATCACTGTGTATAACGCTCAGTAGGGCTCAACAGAACAGGACAGGTATCACAGCCAAAAAGTGACAGCTCACCAGTCAGTCCTCATCCAACCTATCCCACCACTCTCTATCCCCTCAATCCTATCACTCAACACATCATAACCATCTTGACAACCATCCTTAACACTATTCATAGGTCATTTGGGCAGATAGTATTGTGTAGTGAACAGAAACGAGATAGAGTCGGTGGAACTTCAACATGGTTAGTCAGGAAAAAAGTCGCGAGTTGAGCGGGCGTGGGAGACCATTTCCTTTTTTCATGAGCTGGATCCGCGCTAAATTTCAAGCCCATGCAGAAGGATAAATCAACAAGTCAGTGATGACTTGTAATAGTATGCACTGTCAATGAGATGAAATAAAATCAATGGTAAATCCTGAATGAATTAAAATTGGACTGTTCCACCTGTATGATAGTGTGTATACTCTACTGGGAACAGTGTATCCACTATCTATAGGTGTATTAAGTATATATATGTCTGATTCAAACACTTCCAAGTAGTTATGCTAGCAGGGCAAAGAATATACTATCTAGATAAATATAGATGAGGGGAGAATAAGCACAGTAGTAGTACTGATTGGAAAGCGATGAGTTGCAGTATAGTTTATGCACTGGCATAGTATGATAATATATGGTATAGCATGCCATAAAGGTAGCATATACTATTTAGAAGTACTGGATAGCCCAAGATGAGGAGCTAATCTATTAGTACTGAAGATAGACTAGCAGTCCCAAGAAGTATACTGAAATGACGGGCCTCTAGGGCGCTACTATGCTGGTATAGATGCCCAGACATGTGTGTTTCATCCACCACTATTACAATATCTACTCACA